ATTAAAAGAAAAGTGAAGTTGCTAGAAGGCTGAGAGTACTATCACTCCACTGCAAGACTGTTCTCTTCCTCACTATCTGATTGGAGGAGGGTGTACTCTTGCTGATACCGCTGTGTGTGTAAGGAGCAGGCCAACTGAGACATTTTGAATCGTTTTTAACAGATCATGTGACCACAGCTAATATCAGAGGAAGAGGTGTAGCTACTTTGGAAAAACTTTTTCTTGGAACTATTACATGATGGGTCACACTCCTGAAATATGTCCAACAGTATTAGATGTTACACTGTTTTTGAAAGCAGGCTAAAGTAAAGAATGTATAAGTACTAACAGTTTGTTTTCTCACTGTTTTCAAAGGGAGCAGCATCAGTTGTGAATGCATTAAAGAAGCAGTTTTTGTTCCGCCTTATATGAATGAGACAGAGTTCTCTGAGAGATCATGTCCCCTGTCTTGTGTGCGCAGTGCTGGGTTTTGACAGACTGCCATGGTGGGGTACGCTGTGCATTGCGCTGGGCTGTGCCGTTATCACAGCTTTGGTCGTTTGGTTGGTCGTCTGCCCACGCCTCAAGAAGAAAATCAAACGTGAGTAAATCTTTTATGCATACTGCTCAGTTTTTGTTATTGGGGCTGAAATTGGCACACAAAATTCTAGAGAAGCTAAGAAAATAATGAAAATAAGAGGGGGTTTTAATCATTTGCTATAGTGGATTACATATTTTGGAGCTTGCCTACAAAGTGACATACTTCTCATTTGAACACTGTAATGTGCTTCAGGCGGGATAGCTCCCGCTCCCTGCGAAACTCCACTAATGGAGAAGAACTCCAGCAAACCGGCGCCAGCAGAGCAGCCTTCACTACCTCATGACCCTCAACCCCAGACTCCTCCAGCAGACTGTCAGAAGGTGGCTTTCAGACTCGGAGGCTCAGAGGAGGCTGATTTGGACAACAACGACATGGACACCAAAGACTTGGATATCAGCAATGGTGAGAAATGATCTAATTTAATCTTTTGTCTGCCTGAATATCAAACTATTTTACCTCAGTGGCTACAGTCATGGAGATGTAGAATGTAGAAGTAATTCTACAATTTTTTTTCATAGGTCTGAATGGCCCTTTTGGCCCCATGATGATCACTGATCCTCACAGTGGACGGTCCCACACGATCCACAAAGATTCTGGCCTTTACAAAGACCTGCTCCACAAACTTCACATGGCTAAGGTCGGCGACTGCATTGGGGACAGTGATACAGAAGAGCGGCCCATCAGGAGGAACAACAGCTACACCTCCTACACCATGGCCATTTACGGCATTCAAGGTGATCCTAAATACAAGGAGGTGGACGGCGGGCTGCAGAGAAGATCAAGGGTGGACAGCTACAGCAGCTACAGCTCAGCAGTGACCACTGGGACCAGTACTGCCCAGGAGGGGAGTGTGACTCAGGAAGCTGGCCCGGTCCTCGCTCTGGAAGAGGACGAGCTGGAGGTCGACCAACCGGCCGTGTCCTTGCTTTTCCAGTTCCTGCAGATACTCACGGCGTGCTTTGGCTCCTTTGCTCACGGAGGGAATGATGTCAGGTAGGCAAGGGTGGTTTTCTCCTGAGGAATTCATGCATGTGCTGTTCATTCAGATGATTTACATAAGCTATTTTTATCACTAGCAATGCGATTGGTCCACTGGTGGCTCTCTGGCTTCTGTATGAGAGCGGCTCCGTGGTGTCCAACTCACCAACGCCAATTTGGTTGCTTCTTTATGGCGGAGTGGGCATCTGCGCAGGACTCTGGGTCTGGGGACGCAGGGTGATGCAGACCATGGGCAAAGACCTCACACCCATTACACCTTCCAGGTATGCCACATATTTATATCCTATAACAGCTATAATTCTGATATATCTAATTGTCAAAGCGTACTAAGACATTTTCTTCCAATTCAGCGGATTCAGTATTGAGCTAGCTTCAGCAATCACAGTCGTTGTGGCATCCAATATCGGTCTTCCTGTCAGCACAACGCACTGCAAGGTAACTCAAACTTCAGCCCAAATAGATGAATGTGATAATCAAAAGTAGGTTCAGTGTTATAAACGTTTATGTCATGTGAACACAGGTAGGGTCTGTGGTGGCCGTGGGTTGGCTGCGCTCCAGGAAATCAGTCGACTGGCGTCTGTTCAGGAACATCTTCATCGCTTGGTTTGTCACGGTTCCTATCTCTGGGCTGATCAGTGCTGCCATCATGGCACTCTTCATATATGTTGTTCTGTGAGCCTCCCACTATCCAGCTACTGCCAGCAACAGTTTTTCTTTGGCTGACGGATAAAACATATGGTCTCTGTTAATGATGTTTATGATATTGTTCAAAGTCATTTCGAGGTCAAGCCAATGATGTTATCTCACCGGAATATGTCCATGAATGATGTAGGATCTAATAACACTGTTCAACTATCCAGAAGTCTGTGATCCTGTATGTATATTTGTATAAAAGCAACATTGTATTAAAAATCAAAACATTCAAGTTTGAATGAAAAAGCACAAATAACAGTTATATTCTACGTTTGCGTATTTGGATGTAATAAAACGAGGAGATGCTTGATTTGAAAGGATTTCAATGTATTTTACTCACTATTAAACATTTTCCACTAAATTGTATTTACTGTGTTTGCATGTGTTAGCGATGGGTTGCACCATCATGAGGTCATTTTATTTTGATTTAGGATTTTTTGTATACATGGAACAACAAAGAAAATGAAGGTTTAATGCCATTCTCAATTGTTTTATATCTATATTTTACTATACTAATACATAAACCTAAAATGTGAGTAGTATTTTACAAATGCACATTAAGCAATACAGACACAATCCTTTCCTAGAACATTGTTCCAGCATGTATCTGCTGTAAGAACTACAGCTGCCCCTGCTGATGTTTATTGAAAAGCCCACTAGATGCTGCTGCTGCTGCAGGAGTGCCAGCTAATGTCAGGCCTGCTACACACTGCTTCCTCATATCACTATCAGACCTACCTTATGCTACTGAGGGATGACTTTCCTCTGGTTTCACTAACAACAAAAGGCCACATGATGGTGGTGTTCTCCAAATAACTGATGCCATTGATGATGTTTGAAGCAGATGCATGTTCCCTATCTTTCCTAGATTCATTGCTTCACCAGGATTTTTCTTTCTTGCCCAAAGAACTATCAAACACTCATATTTACAGACTTAACATCAACAACATCATTAATTATTTTATTAATCTATGCACATGTCATATATGAATAATCTTTGTGCTATAAGCTGTTTCAAAGCAAGAAAGGAGCCATGTTAGTTCATCATGAAGGTCCTTGTTGGCTGGATTCGTGGACAAGAGGTATATTTTTGACGTGGCTGCATTTCCATATGAATAGACAGGAGAGAAAAAATGTGGATTGGGTGACTGTGTTCATGAAGGATTTGTTTATGTAAAAATGCAATTAGTGCAGTTTATATATATGCACTAACTAGCATGTATTTTATGTAGATTTGTGACATGTCTAGAGATACAATGCGTATATGCATAAAAACCTTGCTAAGATGAGGAGGAGATCCAGATCTGTGAAATAAAATCATTCTTTCATTTGTGCAATTAAAGAGTTTGGAGAGAAGCTACTCCATCCACACAGGTGGTGTCAACTGATATAACTGCAACTGACCTCTGTGGCAGTGTCAGATGTAAAAACTTGACGTTTTTGGGAGGAACTAAGTGTAGCAGAACCCTTTATTATATAAAACACTCTATATAATCAGCCAGGAAACAACGAGAGAGCTATTATCTCAAGAGTCCTTTCTGATGGGGATTGCCAAAACATCCTTTTTTTTTTTCAGGAACACTATTTAGGCAGCAGATGGCACTGTTGTCCCATTTAGCAGGATCTTACATGACTATTCAACTGTGGCAGACCACAGCAACAGGCAGACCTTGACATTTCCGCAAAAATGTGAGAATCACAAGCAACGACAACAATATCAATCATCCATGAAATCCTCTATAACATTTCCATTCAGACATTTGACCTCTCTAATGTTAAATGCATCAGCAAGAGGTCAACTCCAGGAGAAAAATCCAGCCAATCATCTGCACACAAAACAATAATCAACACTACAATCATTCAGCTGTCCAGCAGTCCATGCAGCAGTTAAACCAGAATAAGATCCCACCGTCTGAAGCTGTTACTGGTGTGAGAACAAATACATTGCATCATCTGAAACTAACACATAGCCATGAATTTTGAGCTGATATTTACATTTTTCTCTAACACCTATTTTATGGATCATGTAAGAGGTATTTGAACAGGATGCTGAATATCACAACTGTCTCCAAAAATATGTGAATATAAGCACTTCTAACCTATCACAGTCCACACAGTCACTTTGGAAACAAGCAAGACTATACGGTTACAATCTATAGCCAGTGGCATGTCAGCACTGAACTCATACGATAAGAGCGATGTGATCAGTTCATCATTTAGCTTTCTTATAGCTTCACACACTTTATCAGCCCTCACTATTAAGATGCTCTCAGTGAAGTCAAATGTGAACAACTTTCTCTCTTTTATTTCCCTCCATATCATCAATATCACATGTTAAACACATTATTATTACTGTAATTCATAGTTCTATGAATAGTTGTGTTACTTTGTCGAAAAAGGAAGGAACAAAATGTTATTTTTCAGACTTTTTACCCTTTGGAAGTCATATTGAAAACTCAAAAGAAAACATATATAAATATATATAGACAAATATGAACTTTATAGCACAAAGGGACTGCAGTGTAGATTTTTTTTTAGTTTATAGGGACATCTTGTGTCAGCTCTAGCTGTCTGCGCACTCATCCATGTCTTCTCCTTCCTGCCTTCCATTCTGATGTGTGCGTTTTGTGTATATCTGTGAAAGTCCCCAACAGTCAGCTGGGGTTTACAGCATCCACATCTGTGTCATCTTGTGTTCTGACTGCAACTACTTGTAGTGTCAGAATGATGTCACATGTCTCCCACAATGTTTTTGTGAGTTGTTCTGTGAACTTCCATCCAGTGATGTACCAGAACCTTTTCCATCTACTGTGCTTCACACTGTTCTCAGTGCATTCATGTGTGAGCGGGGGCTTTATTTTGAAACCAGACACCGGAAGTTGTATAATTTGGTTTTGCTGTAATTGACACTTTGGCTGATTTTCATCGGCTGTCCATACAGGTGCGCATGGACAATTGTGCGTAATTTGCGGGGGGCGAGAAATGCGTGTTTACTATGTGAATGCACGATGCTCGGCGTTCCGGGCAGAAATGCGCGTCCACAGCGGAATATCTCTGCAGCTCACACACTGAAGACCGTGCAACTGGGGCATGCATTCACTTTAACACAGCGGACCAACAAGCTGGTGTAGTCAGTAGCAGATTCCCGGGGATAAAACGACGTCTTGGTTTTTCTGCAACAACACTGGATTACCGGAACTGCTGCAGGAGGAGGAGGTGGGTTTGAAGGAAGGTTTTCAGTTTTGAGTATAATAAGAGAAAAACGTGGAGATCCCAGATGTGAAAAGGCAGGTGCGTGTTGAGATTCGCACCTCGTTTTTTTTTTTTTCTTTTGCAATCTGATTTTCGGCCGGAGCCTGTGAAATGCAGCCTCTACCTGACAGATGTGTGGCACCACAACTGCAGCCTACAGGTCTGTATGGCAAGAACCAATTCGTGCGTGTTGTGCATGCCACGAAAAAAAAAAAAAACATTAAGTATGAGGCTGAATATTTAATTCTACTGAGATATCATAGAAGCAACAGAGACAGTGTCCCTGGCTTTGCACCCACTGCACCTGAACAGCTTTCTGTGTGGAAAATGTCTGAGTGATTCTGTCTGCCAGGATTATGATAGCATCTCGCTGTTTATGCACACTGCCCCCTCCCCACGCACAAATCTGATGACAGTCACAATTATTTTCCTGCTGAAACAGCTCAAAGGCTCATGTACAATTTTTGTGCCACTGCACTTTAAGTAAACAGAATTGCCAAGAGGTACAGGCCACTGATGGGACTGTGGCACAGAACAGGTTAGGTTTGTGTCATCTGCTCTGAAACAGTTGAGGAATAGCTCATGGGAGGAATCACAGCGTTTGTTTACCGGTGTGTTTCTGCTCCTTATCTTTTGTTTAGGGAGCGTCTCCTGTCGACCTGCTGCTGATCTGCTGTGGTCGGCTGTGGAGGACTGAGAGTGCTACAGCTGCAAATCTCATCATCATCATCATCATCATCACCATCAACGTCTGCCACTTCAAACACGACAAGACACAAGAGGACAGAGGCTGCTTTTGTCTGATCAAAAGCGCCGGCAGTCACAGAGTACCTGTAGACGATGACTCCAGCAGAGCTGCTTGCTTGAACGCAGCATGAGATAATTGAGGACCACCATACTAATCGCTGATTCAAGCTTTTTCTGTTTGGCACTGATGAAAATGTTCCAGTGTGTCAGTTGACTGACAGGGTTGCAGTGCTGTTCTAGCCCCGGGACATCGCCAGCAGCTGAAGCGTAGACACCACAAAGAAGATGGCTCGTCCAGGATCAGGGATGCTGGTGCCCGTCAATGGGCTGGGGTACCCCCCTCAGAACCTGGCCAGGGTGGTGGTCTGGGAGTGGATGAATGAACATGGGCGCTGGAGGCCCTACAGTGCAGCAGTTTGCCACCATATTGAGAACGTGCTGAAGGGGGATGCCCGGGGAAGCGTAGTTCTGGGCCAGGTGGATGGTCAGCTCTCTCCTTACATCATCGACCTGCAGTCCATGCACCAGTTTCGACAGGACACAGGTAAGAGACGTGGCGGTTTCCTGTCCCGATGTCATTGATGGAGGTGTGAAGGAAGGAACAGATAATGTCGATGTAAACAGTTACCAATACATTATGTGGATTTATACCCAGTAGTTCTAGTGTCTAAAATCCTCCAATAAATGAATTATATTTGGCTGTCCTCACCACAGATGATGTCATATTACACTGGGACTGATTAAAACAGAGCAGTCTTGATGTGGTTGCTACACACATCTTATGTAACTTTCAGGGGAATAAATGAGAGTCCTGAATGCCCCCGTCTGCTTTGGGACTCATAAAGATGAGCCACAGGTTGGGCTCAGAGGCGTTGCAACAAACAGGACACAAAGCACCCAGATGACAAAAGTGTAGCGATGATTTATTCATTCAGGAGTGTCTTTATGCGGCTGCTGGAATGCCATGACCTTGCCAAAGGTCACCGTGTTGGAGGGGGCTGTGCATTCATCAGGCAAATGAGTGCTGTAGCTCAGAGCGACGCTCCACACACTCTTCTCAGCTTATTGTGATGTGCTGTTTTTCCTTTGTAAGAACGGCTGTTATATAGTTACCGTACACAGTTACTGGGTACGAGAAAGTGCTCCTGGTTTCCGCCACATTACCTCAACTCATTTCAACATGATGTAAACAGTATATGGGAAAATTCACTTATATATTAGATATTGAATAAATATCCCAATATGCATAAACTATTGGCCAATCCCCAAAAAATCTTTAGTTTTATGTTTTATGTAGTATTATAATAGTAGTATATGTTGCTTCAGAGTCAAACAGACACAAAACAGCCTTTGTTTGGTTGACTGTAATTCTCTCTGATGACTGTTACCTTTTTAAACATGACCAGATGTTTTTGCTGTACTCCAGCAAGGCTCAACACACTCCCTCTGTTTGTCTGTGAGTGTGGATTCACCTTCCTGCTGTCCCAGTGTTTGAAGCGGAGATGTGGGGGAGGTTTGAGACATCTGTTAGAGGAACGAGCCTTGGACGAATCTCAGCTACCTGAATTATTCTTCACGTCTCATTCAGCTACATATCACTGCGTTAGAGTCAAATATAAACCAAGCGATTGATTGTCTTTTTTATTGTAGATCTGACCTGTCCCTAGAGCATCTAACACACACAGACATCAGTGTTTCATCACCTGATGAGGTGAAGCATGAAGAGTAAATCCTTCACTTTGAGTCTCTTATTTGAAGGCGTTATGTAACAACAGTATCACAAGAGGCACAGGGAGATACAGAAGGTGACCTCACTGTGCATGGATCTGCATTATGTCACCTTTATTCATTTGCATGAATGCATATTTTTGGATTCAGCTGGCAGTGTTAATCAGAATACACAGAATGCAGCTCAAATTTGTAAAGGTCCTTGGAGTAACTGTCAGTCTATTAATTGTTTTATTATGGCTCAAAATGTTTCTCTAAATGGTTCAAAACTGCAAAAATACCCACACATGTAATAAACTGTGGTTGTATGTGTGTGTTTTGCTAGAAACCCATCCACAGATGGGCGTTGCAAGCTGGCTATAAATTCTGTGGTATGTGGCACTGGTCGACGCTCTGTATACTTAGCCCTTTAAAAATAAATATGAACAGTAAAATAATGTTCATAAAATCAGTAATTCATGCATCTTTTTTTTAAACTAATGTTTTATGAAAAAAATACATGCCAATATCCTTGTCCTTATCTGACATCAGTTATGATACAGTTGTTATATTAATGCTATATATACAGTACACAGGCTTTATTACACACTACATTTACTCATTTAGAGGAACATTTCAGTTTCATTTTAGTTACTACATCATCAGACAGCAGCATGTAGATACCAGACAAGTATTATATTTTCTTCGGCTCCTATGATATTTATACATATAACAGAAGGGGACATAAAAAGACCTGGACCCCCGTATGAAAAGTTTATATCCTGCATGAGCACTTTCTGTATTGGCTATATACAGCATATAGTATATATAGCACTTCGAATATCAGCATGCTTCTATTCTTCATGAAGAAAATGTTATTGTTTAATGTTTGAAATGCTGTATATGAGAGCGGTAGTGTTTCTGCACGACTGTCAGGAGGGTTGTAGCGTAAGGAGCTGCCTGGCTGTATTTCTGCTCCTCTCGTTGCTGTTATCCCCTCTGATAGAACATAACACAGAGCAGCACATGTGTCTGGGGTTGACTGGTTGCGAGATGAGCCACTGAGCCGTTTGTCAGCCATTACCACGGCGCAGGGGCTGGGCCTGACGTTTATCGGTCCTCATTGTGCCGTTCGGCGTGTTACCTTCCCCCTCGGCTGGGATGAACCTGTCACAGCGGGCCTTGACGGACACAGCCTGGACACCCACTGCCTACTCTCCCTCTTCCTTCCTCCTCCTCTGCACAGCCCGTTCCTCTCCCCAAACACGGGCAAACCCCTGCCAGGCCACAGCCATCGATCAGGGCTCCAGTGAGGCCTAGCTTCCAGGCCGTAGTGATGTTGATGCACCGCCGCTTGCACAAACAGCCTCAGTGAGCTTGTTTTAATGTGGACTGTGATGCATCTGTTTCACGTCGGATGTTTGCTATATTTGTAGCTCAGCAGGTCAACCGCAGCCTCTTGCTCCGTTGCAGGCTTATGGAGTGTCCCTGTGGGGAAGCCCCATTTTGTCGTGGAGCCAGTGATCGTCTACTGAGGCTGTTTTTTGGCAAGAGCTGGAAAGAGAGTTGAGTGTGCTCTGTGTCCCCTGTGTGTATGTGTGTGTCCATGTGTGAGGTTGCTGACGTGTGTGTGATGGTGCACTCTGCCAGCTGTGGCAGCTGTGGTGTTTGTGTCCTGTTCCTGCAGGCTGTGAGGGGGTGCCCTGCTCTCCTGTGGGTTTGGGAGGAGCTCCTGTGGGTGGGAACCAGGCAGAGTTACTCCGACTAATGAGACAGCAGCTACGGTTTATCTCCATGGCTCCTTCTAATCAGAGCATCATGACGACAACGCAAGCACCACAGACGATGCGGCAGGGCCCCTCTCTGTGGACAGCAGCCTAAACACATCTGTATTTAGTTGGCATTCAAAAACACAGGGCAAGGAGTTCATGATGCAACTACTGGTGAAGTCTGTGGTGAAACCCTGAACCCCAGTTCTTTGTATATACAGAATCACTGGAGACTTAAAGGCTTATATATAGTGTGGATGAATATGTGGCTAAAGGCAGGGAGAGGTTTGGCTCCTGGCCAAGGAGGATCGATCCGTTCTCCTCCCCAGAGGGGCTTTTGAACCTCTAAACACTGCTGTGGACTGATCCCCTTTCACTACACCCACTCCCATAGCAAAACACATGGGCTTATCTGCCATCTCCATCATATACCAACACTTGTGGCCTGTCTGATGGATTTCACACTGCAACTATTGCCTCTGCTGCCTGGCTTTTAAGCATTTACCTCCTCTGTATTTTCTCTTATGATGGAGAGGTGGCACAAAGCAGAGAGACCAGCCAGTGCGCATTCATGACAGATGGATAAATCAGTGATAAATCAGTGATGACTGCTAAATCATAGCCGTAACATCAGCACCATTCACAGGCCGAATATTATTCTTAAATGAAGACAGGTTCTGTTGGGTACTGCTGTGGGGCTGTAGTGATATTACTGCATGAGAAACGTACTTTATAGCAATATGACATTAAAGCACAGTAACAAAATGATGATGATCAAAAGACATCACAGCAGGTGAAACAATGACACTGACTCACAAGGTAATGTGAACATAAATATATTAATGAATTGTTGAAATAGTATTTTCAATTCCACAGGAGCAACTCAAGAAACTCGATCAGTTTCTCTATCGCATCTTCAACCATGGCAAATGTGCCTAACCTTGTGACTTTAAATTGAACTGAAATTAATATTGATTTTCACTAGTTTCACAAGTTCAAACTGTTGCACAGGCAGTTAACCGGCTGGGGGGCCGACGATGTTATCTTGTCCTCAGGATACAGAAGTACTTGTGTTGGCTGTGAGTTTTGAGCAGGTGGACACCTCCATGGCTGTAAAATAAAGCCAACACAGAAGTGCTAAAAACTGTAGTTCTTCAAACAGCCACCTCAAGGCTGGTTTCTAAAGTGTGTTTGTCTGCATAAGGCCCCATATTAAAATGCCCACAGCAGAAACATTACAGTGTTACAGTCTGGTTCAAGAAATGGTTTTGTTCTCTCTTACTGATTTCCCCCTGTATGCCTGTATGTGTGGTGTGAATTTTTATGTAACTCACCTGTTTAAATTATATTAAGGCATAAGGCATTAAAGTTATGCCTAATTAAGGGCATGGCTGCTTTAAGGGACTGATGGGTGCCATCTGTGGTGGCTGGTTTCAACAACAGAGCTTCAGTTAGCCCGTCTTAGATCCATCCACACTCCACGTCTTTATCCATTTTAACATATAGGGGGATCACTGCTACTGTTTGCAGGCTAGGCTAGGTAGCTTCCATCTGGAATAGCCTGCAAGCTTCTGCTTCCCAAAGGAAATGTTGAATGTTGTAAACGGACAGATATTTTCATTTAAAAAAAGCTCTAAAAACTGACTGTACGCTTTCTGCTCAGCACCAAATGACATGCAGACACAGTTAGCGGAGCATCAAGCAGTTAGGAGTTGGTGCAGGGTAAAAGAGAGCTATAAGGAGAGGGAATGTTAGACTTACATTCATCAGGTGGACACAAACGCAACCCCAAATGACTGCTGATGTTCCTCTGTATCCGCTGGATGTGTGAATATGCTAACTGTTACAGCCAATGTTATGTGGGCTTGTTGTTAGGCTTTACAGGGCCATGGCGTGTTGATGCGCACCACAGAAGCTGACTGCGCGCCTCCTAGCAATGCCGGCCTGCAGATGTCAGTCAAACGTTGCCATCAGGGGAAACTCCCACAGAGGCTCGAAACTTTAGACTTTTTTCCCGGAAACATATTTAATCCTCATTTGAAAAATGTAGAAAATAATGTGCGCCGTG